GGGGGGGGGGTAAAAACCCAAATAATCGATCCATTGCAATGTTCTGATCATTGGTTCGGTTATGTCTTTCGAATGCCCCATGGAAACGATTGTATGAGCTGTCTGCCATGATAGATAGCAACATTCTTGCTATATTGTGATTTGGTCAAACTGAGTAGTATTGTTCGTCAATTTAATTGTTGTTTCCATCGCTTGTCCAAGCCATTGTTTTCAAATCATGTTCCAGGCTTTTTCGTGTTTATCTCCTTTCCTCTGAATCGAAAAGCGCATTTTCCTTCATCATATTCTTCCACCCATCGATTGTGTCATATTTACGATACAGATTACTCCCATTTTGTTGATTTTCCTTTTGGAAAATTGTCTCTAGTCTGTGGCAGTGTGTATTTTGTGGCAGTTTCATCGAAAAACACTTCTTTGCTGCATAATAGATTATGTTTGATTGTGTCAAATGGGCGTATTTCAGGCTGAATGGGACGTTATGGTGAAGTCGGTTGTGTGTGTCAGCGTGTAGTACTGTGTGACAGAAGCGTGCATCCATATGATTGGCAGATGCACATCTGAAGCCATCAATATACTCGCGCTTCATGTATTTCCGTGCGCAGAAAAGGAGGCTTGTTGAGACGGCTTGTTAATCGAAGGTAGCTCTGCTTTTGAGGATTGACATGTGGCGCTCGTTGTCTTAGCTGTTGCTTCAGTGTCCTTTCAATTGCTTAAAGTCAATTGGGAGATGTTCCTGCAATCCCGAATATTTTTTAACATGCGTTCTGTCTTAGTAACTGGACATCCGGCTTGTCCTCAGGATTCAGGTATTGCGACTGCAACGGCTGTCCACGAATTCCATTTCGATTGACCTGCTAAAGTTAGATACCAGCTCGAACTTATGATTTCCATTTATTGTGTGCAGTGCCAGGTCATCCATGCAAAAAAAATGGCAGAGCTTCGTATTGTTCCTCTTATCGGTAGCATAGCCTATCTTGATTTGTTTTACAGTTTACTAAGGGCTTTAAGAATAAACAGAACGAATATGTCGGAATCCGTCTCTCTGATGCCTCTTATGATAGGATCTTGTCGGTTTCATAGGTATATAGACATCTTCAAACATGCACTCGCTTTCTCCACGTTTCCATGAAGTTGACCATCAAGGCAATGACATTGCCATCCAATTTATTTAAAGTATTATTTTTCACATTACTGCTGTCATGCGCAAACTTAAAATGCGTTATTCTTCGGTTTATAATATTACCAACGACTCTACGCAGATGATCATTGCTATCACATAATGTTTATTTAGGTTTACGTCGTTTGTGAAATCATACAATGTTGAAAAGTTTCGCAGAACCTTCATACTGTGCTTAATCAGGGATTATCACTTGTATATAACATGTTTCAAGTCCAGGAGTTAAAACAGGGATTTTAGCCAAGCACGTAGATTTAAACTTGTGGCTGCAAGAATGGCACTGAGCGCAGGTGTGCATCCGAACAACCTGTGCGAAAACAGAGACCCTGTTTCGAAAGCCATGTAACCGATGGTTGAATTTTAGTACGTTTGCCAGAAGAACTGCGGCGTGGAGACGTACAACAATAAGCATCAGGTGATATTTTTGTGCAAAATCTGCAGCGAGACAAGAGAGGTAAGTACTCAAAGTCTGGTGTTTAGTTTCGATGGTCATTGACGACCACAACCGATGGTGTTTCAGTTCTGGAAGAAGTCTGGAGCATGGTTCTACAAGACGGTGCCGGTCGTCCCCCTGACAGCACTGGAGGCCGCTGACTCTTGCCGTTCGTTATCCGGAGGCAGCTCCAGCAGGGAGCACAAAATCTCTGACCGCGTCAGCGACATGTCGTACCACAAGTCGTTCTCAGACTACCATGGCAGGGCCTCACCGACTCCGTTCGGACATTCGCCGGGGCGTCGGCGATTGCTACCTTCGACTCCTCCCTCCGACGGCGCGATGTCAATGATCTCTCAGCCGCGGTGGGCGATTCGTTCCAAAGGTGTCGGCGACCAGGACAGTGCCGCACTCGCCAACGGTAAAT